CGAGCACAAACCTCACCAGGAAGTGATCTGACCATGACAGGGGAGTCAAACATAAATTCCTCACCCTCAGGTCACCCTCTTCCTGCCCCGTCGAGAAAACCAGGTTCAGAGTGTGTCCATGTTCATGAGTCGGGGCGGAAACATGTTGAGACAGCCCCATGGCCGTCATGGAGGCCATGAAGTCCTGAGCCGCCCCAGTCAGACCAGACTCGGCGTGGAGGTTGAAGTCCCCCAGGACCAACATCCTGGGGGTCCTCAACACCAGGTCCGAGACGATCTCCGTCAGCTCAGGCAGGGAGACTGTTGGGCAGAAGGGTGCACGGTACACCAACAGAATCCCCAATCTGTCTCCGTAGCCCAACACCAAGTAGAGGCACTCCAGGCCTGGCCTCGAAGGGACCGGAAGTCCTGTGAGAGATGGAGGCTCAGTAAACCAAAGCGACCCCCCCTCCCCTCCCCTCTGGGCGTGAACAGTGCTGAACCAGATACCCGGGCGGGCACAGTTGAGAGAGGGCAACATCCCCCCCTCTCCCACCCAGGTCTCCATTATGCAAGCCAGGTCGGCCCCCTCATCCACAATCAAGTCATGGATGAGGGAAGATTTATTACTGACCGACCTGGCATTGAGCAGCAGCACCGTCAGGCCCGAGGGGCGGTTGACAAGGCTACCTGGCACCCTCTGGCTGGGGGCAGAACCAGAAGGAGGGACAGGTGTCAGCCATCTGTCCCTCCTTCTTCTATGCAGACACGTTAAGCCCCCACCGCTGTTACGTCCATTTCCCAAGACCACGCCAATGGCAGTGCCCGCGCGCTCCCCAGGAAACATAAACGTCGACATGGCCAGGGACGACTCCAAATTCAGAATAGCCCTTGCTAATATTAGCAGGGAGGTTATTCAGTGTCTTGGCAGGTGTTACTGTCCTGGTATTCCTAAAATATGGAGACTCTCAAGTTGACACTCTGCTGACAAACTCATATGCTATTCAGGTTACAAATGAGGAATGAAACATGGAAGAGTTTTCTAAGCCGAAGTCAACTCCTACGTTAAAACAATGTGATAAACAGTAAAGTTATTCAAGGCATGGTTAACCTTGGCTTGTACTCCCTATTAGATTTCATTTGCTAGGGTGTGACTTTGTAAGGCTCGATGCATATATGAAAATGGGGGAAAAGCAACCAGAAGCTTTCACAATGCTCACAGTGGCCCAGAAGCAGAAGCTTGTGTGCACAGAGTGTGCACAAATATGCTGCAACAAGGGCAAGAGGTGTTGAACAAGAAATGTGGAAGAAGAGAAGAAACTGGGAAGGGTGCATAGACTTGACTCTACCGCCTATACCCAGAACACTGTTGGACCATGAGCCAGGGTGCTTCCAGGGGATGCCTGTATCTATAGTTGCCCTGTTTCATCCATGGACTTAGAAAGGTTGAAAAGATGTCAGCTTCAATTTTTAACCATCTTGTGTGTGTTCTTTCTTTCCTTCCAGTGGGGAAAAACCCAGTAGTGGTGTAGGAAGTTTGTTATGCCTATGTCATGAAACCATCAAAGTTATGGGAATAGAATGTGTTACAGATAAAATTACTTAAATAGTCTTGCTTCTGTTTTCATCTGCATTTATATGTTGAGATCCATTTTTCAAGAATCTGGATGTAGTACATATTTGCTCCTCCTCTCTGTATTGGGGTAGGTGTGCTTGTTTAAAGCTTGCATAAGTGCACATATACTTCTGATGACTGTATGGTTCATGACAGAAGCTGATTTAAAATAAAAGCACAGGACAATAATGAGAGATATTTCTGTTGTTCACACCCATATGTTTTGAAGTCTAACGACACTTTAAATCTTGTTTATACCTGTCACTGAGCAGGTTTTGTTTTAAATTGAGGACCTTTGACCCAGCAAAGCAGATTTCATGCCAGTATGTCTTTATGGTTTGGAAGGAGCAGGAGGTAGGTGTGTACTGGAATGCTGCTTGCAGGATATTCTGCTGAATGGGCTAGTTCTTTACTCTAGTAAGGCTGTATGTGTTTGAGAGGGAGAGAATGCAGAATGTTAATAAAAACCAGGAGTTAGGGCATTCAGTTCACTAAACAGAATGAAAGTTGCGCTTCTGGACAGCAGTGGATTTGCTCTTCTTGGTGTTCTCTCTCTGCTTTTTATATTGTTTCATTTTGGAAAAACATTAAAATCTCAAAAGCCAAAAGTTTGTTCCATTTCTTTAATACATGAATAAAAATACATTTCTATTAAACTTATTTTCAAATGTCTTTAATATTTTTAAGATGTTTTCTTCTTTTAAGCAAGCAAGCAAACCCATCATTTCTAAGAAAAGAGTTGCCTTGGAAATAAGTGGTAGGGCTAGCTCACAGTGGCTCTGTGCTTGTCCAGTCTACACTGGGGGGCTGTCATGCCAGCAGACTTTTCTGGTTGAGATTTTGGTCAAAATAAGGTCAATAGGCTTTGCTGCTAGTCCTAAAATCGTTTCAGGTCTGGTAATGGCTAATGTACTGGAGGAGGCAAGCCAGTGGATTAGAGGAGCCCTTGATAACTGAGGTAGAAATATCTTTCTAATCGTTAGCAAATCTGTCCTTAACCTTTTGTCCGCTCAAGCCAGTGATTCTCAGTGCTGCATGCAGGCTGAAGCAGTATATGCACATAATATGCTTTGGTCACAATGTGGTAGACATTGAGGGCTGGCTGAAGAATTAGTACTGGCCAGAGGTTGTGTCTGTTTTCCCTTACTGTCCTGGACTTCCTTGATTTCCCATTTCATGGATAAGACACCAGCCCCTGCCCTTGTGCTTTCACAGGAATATTTCTTACAGCAGGTTTTGTCAACCTCTGAATTCTTGGAGGCCCATTCTCTTTTCCAGGCAGTGGTCTCAAAGCAGATGGGAACAGTCCACAGTGCAGTAACATACATGCTTCTCATGCAGAAGGTTCTGGGTTCACTCCCCAGATCAGCCCAGGTAGGGCTGGGAACGTTGCCTGCCTGAAACCGTGCAGAGCATAGTCTAGTCAGTGTTGAGTGGCAACAGGAACCTTGTTAGGTCTTGGCTAAAGTCCTCCGTGAAGTCTTTGGGAAAGGCAAAGGTTCTCCTACTCCATCTCCGGATTTCTTAGTTTCAGTGCTATGGGATGAAAAGAGGAGTCCCCTTCCCACCTCAAAGAACAGCAACCAAATATGATGTGTGTGTCTGTTGGGTGTGATGTGTATGTGTGCAAGCTTCTCTGTGGGTGAAGCACAATGAGACCAGTGCCAGCAAGGGATAACCCCACCTGCATTGGCCTGTGGCCCAACCATGGTTGCCACGCACTCCCTCTTGTGCTGGTCTGGAACCATTTCAGTCTTCAGCACCGAAGTGCCCTCCATCCCTGGTGTAGGCAAAACTAAAGTACAGTGGTACCTTGGCTCACGAACTTAATCCATTCCAGGACTCTGGTCATGACCCAAATTGCTCGTGAGCCAAGTTAAATTTCCCCATAAGGTTCAATGTAAATAAGATTAATCCGTTCTTTAACTATTCTTTTAAATCAGAAAAATGTGAAGCAAAGTGACAAAGAGCAACAGAGATTGCGGCCATCTCCCCCCGCCCCCCCCGCACCCCAAGCACAAGCATGGCCATCTTCCCGCCCCCCCCCAGCACAACCACGATCACGCCCATCATCCCTGCACTTGCCCATCATCCTGGCATGCTGGGGGGGGGGGGGGAGAGACGGGCATGAATGCAGGTGCGCTGGGGCAGGGAGACAGGCGCAATTGTGCGCTGGGTGGAAATGGCTGAGATCACAGTTGTGCTTATGCAGGAAAGATGGGCGCGATCTCGGCCATCTCCCCGCCGCCCCCAGCACGATTGCGGCTGTCTGCCCCATTGGGGGGGGGGGTGAGGAGATGGCCGCAATCATGGTCACCACCCAATATGGAGTTCGCAACCTGAGTAAAAAATTTTAAGAAATTTTGTTCGTGATCCGATTTGGTCATGAACTGAGGCGTTTGTGAGCCAAGGTAACACTGTAAATGGGCCAATGTTCTGGTTTATTACAATGGAGTTTCTTGCTGTGAGCTCAAAGTTGTTCACCCAGTGGTTGCCTCAGGGGTGGCCCAACGGTTCAGGAAACTTGATGCTATCTAGCAGTTTAAGGCTTTCACAGTTGTGATACACTTAGTATCATAACACACAAAGGGTGAGGTAACATGGAAGCATAGAAAACCTCTTTCCTTGTTTCTCACAAACCGAGAATGGTTTCTCTTACAAATGAAGCAGTGGACAAGCTTTTTACCACATCCTATTTTCGAATTCATGGCCTGCTTGATAACTACCCTGTAGTGTGGCAGAGAGCCTTCCTTTTTGGATCTCTGAACACATTTAGCAATCTGCGAATCTGTCCTGGGCTCCACCACAACATGGCTGGCATGCAGCCTAAGACTGACTACAAGGCAGAGGTGGCTCGGAGCACCAATTCAGCTAACAACTCTTTTGAACCCACTATTTGTTGGCAATACTCCATGCTAATTAAAAAAGCAAGGTTGTATGGGTACCTTGTGGGGAGATAGGAAAGATGTTCAAAGGTATACTTGTGGACACCACATAGCTTGCCACGCAGGAGAATAAAGAGGGGTTTTTGAGTAGTCATTGTGTCTCTTGCTCTGCTAGGTCGTATTTTCATTTTTAGTCTTTGGAAAAAGTTAGTGAGCTAATGCTATTGATTATCAATTACTTTTGTTTGTATAACAACATTTACAGCCAGTATTATTACAGGAGAAGCAGGTAAGTGGATAAGAAATGATACATACAACATTTAGTGCGATATAAATGTGTGCTTAATTGCATTATTTCTCTATGCACTGTATGGTGGCAAATGTGTCAATTTCAGTTTTGCTCAGTTCTTTCTTTACCTGACTGTTAGTTCTTTTTAGAGAGGTGGCAGGGTGTCCTCACATAAAATTTTCAAGAAATTGTTTGGCCCATTTTGTAACTTCTGATCACTTTTTCTCTATAGGGTAGATAACTTTGGACTTGGACTTCTACTCCAGACCAAGCAGATCAAACGCATGGTGTCATCCTATGTTGGAGAGAATGCAGAATTTGAACGGCAGTATTTATGTGGAGAACTGGAAGTTGAGCTTACACCACAGGTAAGATGCCTTTTTATTGGACTAGCTGGTTATCTTTTTGGGATGTCCTATAGCTAATAACCCTAACATTGGTTTTGGTCTTGGGCTCCACTTCCCATACTTGCAGCCGCAGCGACTCCATAACTAGCATTTCAGGTATTGAATGCTATGCTAGAGGATCATCGCAAGCCATAATGTTAGCGCAACATTGCAGACGTGTGCTCCAAATGTCTGTCTTGGAAGCAGGTTGCTAAAATGTGATGTTGCTTGATTATGACTTTCAGGTTTTGAATTTAGGCAGAAATGCTGTGGCCCTTAGACCATGTTTTTGAGGCCATAGGTTAGTTCACCTTTGACACTGGAGCTGGGCGTTTGAGCTCCAGCCCCTCTTGCCACCTTCCCCTGCCTTTTTGTCCTGGAAAGAATGGCACCATTTACCCTCCAAGGTTGGGCAAGCAACCTCGGAGGAAAAGGAGCATCAGCATAAAACTGACACAAGAGGTCATCTAGAGATCTGGGTTAGGATGTTACCAGTACGCTCCCATCTTCTGCTCCTGGGGAGGCAGTGAGCTGTGTACTGTTTCTTAGTGGTTATTTTGGGCTGGATGAGCATGAGTATGAACAGAGTGAAGCTTTATCCAGACAAGATGGAAGAACACTTGCTGGGGGGTTCAAGAGATCCTGCAGTCGGTCCTCTGCTTGTCTTGAATGGGGTTGCACACCCCCTGACATTGTGAGCGTATAGCTTTGGGCTTCTCCTGGATCTGCAGGTGGCGCCAGCAGCCAGCAGCGCCTTTCCCTCTGTTTCTGTGGGGTTTGCTTGGGTTTTTTATGTATGTATGTATGCATGTATGTATGTATGTTAAGTACTATCCATTGTTTCCCAGGACTGCCCATCCTATTTGTCTGCAAATAACAGTCACTGTTACTGTGTGGTTTTCTAGAAAAGAATCAGATGTTGAAAGATGTGGAAGATTTTAGTAAATAAGTCAAGAAATAATAGCACACAAGGCACACTTTAAGCATGTGTGTTTGGGAGAAAGCATAGATGGGAATCCTCCAACACTGTGGATTGTATATGTTAGTTACTCCAGAATAAATATAAATAGAATTGCTGCCATCTAGTGACTAGAACAAAAATGCAATATGAATGCAAGTGTTTTCCTATTCTCTGTGTTTTCACGCTTTATTTAGGTACAGGAGTACATTTTATGAAACTGTTCAAGTTTTCAGTCTGGTTGAAGTTGCTAGCAACAAAGGAACTGGATTTTAAACCTGTACAATAGGCCATTACGTAATTCTTGTGAAGGACTGCAAACAGCATAATAGTGGAATTAAAATAAGAGCAATGATAGGTTGCCATTCTGATGGACTGTTCCTCACTTAAATATTTCTTGGACTATTCTGCCTCTCTTGATGATACCTGGGTGATCTGCTTTCATTGCAATGGGCTGTAGTAAGCAGGAATTGCCACTGCCCTTCTGCCTGAGTACCAAAACTTGTTTTGTTGTGTTTTAGGCTGTCTTTGATGTTAGGGTTTTATGTTCTAGCTTGTATGAAATTGATTTTTATACTTATTGTAATCTACTAAAAGAACTTAGTCTTATGGCCCATGGGTGACATTCGCAAGCCATATATTAATAATATAGACTTTGACATCAGAGCTGGTCAGCCAGTGGCATTAAATGGCATTAAAAGATTTGTCTCCCAGGGTCTATGAACAGTTTTTCTGAAACAAAGCTTCTCAAGTTCTGTTTGTCTGCTACTAAGTTCAGACAGTAGCTTGGGGGTCGATGCTGTTAGAGTAATATTCGAACTGCTTGAAGATAATAGGCAGAGGTCAAAGGAGAGAATGAGTGGAGAATTTGCCATTGCAGTTTTATCACTGCAAACCTTTCTTTCAGTCAGTAGCGTAGTGTTCCTTTGTGATCAATGCCTGTTCTTACCCTTTTTTCCTTGTTTCAGGGCACCCTTGCTGAGCGCATCCGAGCAGGAGGAGCAGGCATTCCGGCTTTTTTCACCAGCACAGGCTATGGGACTCTAGTGCAGGAGGGAGGGGCGCCGATCAAATACAACAAAGATGGTACCGTTGCCCTTGCAAGTCAACCAAGAGAGGTAAGGCACACATGGGTTCGAACTGGGCTGTGGCTAGAGTGGGGGTTGGCAACTTGTGGGCCTCCAGATGGTTTGGCCTACAATTCCCATCAGCCCTCAGCACTGGCTATGCTGGCTAAGGTGGATGCGAGCTGTAGACCAAAACTTCTAAAGGGATTCTAGTTTCTGCTTCCAGAACTAGGAGCTTGAGGTTTGCAGTGGGTGAGCATTTTGGTTCTTTGTGGAAGCCCTTTCTGCAGCTTTGTTTTGTGTCATAGCTCTCAAGCCAGGGTAGGTGGACTTCAGGTCATTTAGAGACACAGAGGTCCATCTGCACAACCAAGAAATGGTATAGTTGAAGTTAGGGGTTCATGGTTTTATTCTGCAGCGCATTTGGGTGCAGGGAGTGCGTGTGCATGTGTGTACAAGTCTGTTGTTAGTGTCCTCTGCCTAGTTTGTATGGCTTAGATCCTTCATGCCAGTGGGACTGCCTTCTTCCCTACATGATCCATACAGTTTCTAGAGATCGCTCTCTTAATTCTAAGGATAGGGAATCACTTTAAACCTGGACTGTGGAAAAGTGGGGAAACCACCAACATTAGTGGTGGTTCGAGGGAAGGGAGCATGGCCATCTCAAGAATCCTTGGTCCTTGTCTTATGTATGTATGTATTTTAATTTATATACCACCCAATAGTGCAAACTGTCTGGCTGGTGAATGACAGTAATACACACAATCAAATACAATATAGAATATAAGAAGAAAATGTCATGCAATTACATTAAGAAATTGAAACCACATTTTAGGCAAAAACACCCTTTTAAGCAATAGACAAGTGCTGCAGTTCTCTCAGCAAAAAAAGTGTGCAGGAAAGAGTCTGATCCTGACAAAACTTGCCAACAGCCTACCAAATGGTGATGATGCTAGTGGTGGTAATCTTACTTCTGTACATCAGAGTGAATTACAGGGTTTCTCTTTCTCTTTCCCCCCAGCATATGCACCCACACACCAAGCTATTGAACTTGATTTGACATGCTATTTTCACCTTCTTTAACCCCTTTGCAGAGCAACCTGAAAAAAGAATAATTTTTAAATCCTAGTAAGAGAGCAGACTATTTTCAATGAGAAAATATTTTACATGTCCCTCTAATCTGCTTGTTTCCTCTAGGTGAGGGAGTTTGATGGTCGGCATTATATTATGGAAAGGTCGATAACAGGAGATTTTGCCCTAGTGAAGGCATGGAAGTCTGATCGTGCTGGAAATATTATTTTCAGGTAAAGTATGTTCATGGAGCAGATACTGTGTTCTCCAAGCCACAGCTTTCAAACTGTTTTTCCAGAAAATCTCAGAAACTTTTTGGGATGACCTGGTTGAGAAGATCAGCAATTCACGGCAATGAGAGCTTGCTGGGCCACAACTGGTATTATTCTCTCATAGCTCAAAAGTGGGCATGTGGCCTTCCCTATGTTCCCAATGTTTTGCAGTTCCCATCATCCCTCATTACTGGCGATGCCTAAAAAGCAGAGACATCATGCTGCTGACAAAACTTTGTATAGTCAAGGCTATGGTTTTCCCAGTTGCAATGTATGGCTATGAAAGTTGGACCATAAGGAAGGCTGAGCGCAAAGGATTGAGGCTTTGAATTGTGGTGCTGGAGGAGACTCCTGCAAGTCCAGGTTAGTCTTAGAGAAGATCAATCCTGACTGCTCTTTAGAAGGCCAGATACTGAAGATGAAACTCAAATACTTTGGCCAGCTAATGAGAAGGGAGGACTCATTGGGACAGACCCTGATGCTGGGATCAATTGATGGCAAAAGAAGACGGGGATGGCAGAGGATGAGGTGGCTGGATGGAGGCACAGGGGCAGTGGGTGTGGGCTTGGGTGGACTCTGAGGGATGGTGGAGGACAGGAAGGCCTGGAGGAATGTTGTCCATGGGGTTGCAGTGGGTCAGACACGACTTTGCAACTAGCAAGCAAGCAAGCACTAGGGTGATGGGAGTTGTAGGCCACAGAGTGCAATTCTATGCATGTTTAGACATACAAATACTTTTTGTAATCTGGGTGTTGTGCCCTAAAAAACATTCCAGATACGCTCTCCTGCAAAATCCCACAAGAATGTCAATCTCTGGAAAAATGCCTGCTTAAAATCTTTTACACCGGTTGTCATACACAACGGAAATTTAAGTACACCAAATAATTAATAAAAAGGACATGGGAACTTGACATATTGGGCTTTCAAAATGTTTCATCCAAAGTGTTGAATTAACCTAAATGTTGAATTTACCGAAAGCACAAATTCACTTAGAATTTGGTAAAGCAAAATAACCGGTAGGGGACAGTAGAAGCCTAGCATTCCATTGCATAAGGATTGAGAGAGAACTGTCTAGAAAATAGCATTCTTTGGTTTGATTAGTACTGTGAATTTTCTCTGCTGAGGCTTACAGCATCAAGGACCCATTATCAGAAAACTCCACATCTGTATGACTGCAGTGTTTAAAATAGATAAAAAAAATAGGTTAGGAAGACCTTGGAGATTGTTTGCAAAGAAACAGCTTAAATATTCTTCTGCCAGGAATGCAGTGAAGATGTTGCTTTTCAGAACAGCGTCAAGCAAGAGACAGTTAAATAAAGTGTTCGCTATGTTTGTATTCCCCCTTGGAGGAAGCCCAAGGCAACATGCCTGATCCTCAGCTTCCTCTTCTCCATTTTATCCTGTGAAGTACATCAGGTGAGAGTGAAAGCCCCAAAGTCAGCTGGTGAGCTTCATGGCTGACTGTGGAGATTTGAACCTGGGTGAGCCCTGTGAGGTAGTTTGGGCTGAGTGTCTGTGCCTGGCCCAAAGTCATCTAGTGAGCTCTGGGGCTAGGTGGGGACTAGGACCCAGATTGCCTGAGTCCAGCCCCATGCTCTTAGCCCCTACACTGGACTTCCTTCTTGATTCACACTGTTACTCTACAAAACTAAAACCTAGAGCTGTGAACCAAGGAATCATGGAATTAGCTCTACCATTGGTTCTGAGTAATGGAAATTAGTGGAGTCCAGGGATATGTCCTGGGTACACAAAGAATCATAAAAACATAGCAGGTGTTTTTGTTTTGTTTGTTATATTTATAGAAACATAGAAACAGCGCGAGTCTAAAGGGGCCTCCGAGGCCATCTGGTCTGACCCCCGGCTCCAGCTGGCTCTGCTCATGACACGCCTACCACATGCATGTCCAGTCTATCCTTGAACAAAAATGTTTTACCTTTTCCTGTAAGGAACCCTGAGGCAGCTTGTAAATCCTCCCCCTCATCTCCATTTTATTCTCACGACAACCCTGTCTCTGTTAAGTAGGTTCTGTTAAGAGTGGCTGTGCCAGAGTCACCCAGGGAGCTTCATGGTTGAGAGGGGACTAGACCCCATATCTCCTGGGTCCCACTCTGCTACTCTAACCATTGCAGCACACAGGGTGGGTGTAGCCCCCTGCAGTGGGCTCAGGCATTGCCAGAATCCCAAGATAATGTTATGCAAGCTCTGGGTTAGCTCACAAGGAGATTTTCATTGAGTAACTTGCAGTGCTAGCAGGCTCTCAGTAACAGCAAGGAATCAGTGAGGCTCCCATCGGCCGGAACAGATGAACAGATAACAACACAGCCTGCTGGCCCAAGGAGGGGCTGGGTGAATTGCCCACTTTACATACCCTGCCTTGCTTTCAGCCAATTGCATGTGCATTAAAAGTATGTGGTGCTCAGCACTCCCACGACAGAAAGTGAACAAGGTCATGCTGTGGTTGATGGGAATAAGGGAAGCTGGTTAACAAGCCTGATGAGCCTGTACTTGCTCATAATTTCCCATGATGCTCTGTGTCTGTCCATTCTCCTTGCCAAGAGGCCTAAAACTAGGTGGACAAGAAGCAATACACTGCCAGCTTATACAGCAGGCCATCCAGTTGAACTCCCTGCTCAGTGCAAGAAATCACAGAGGCTTTGCAGGCATCTGTTCAAGGCTCACAGTACAGGAGGAACACCCCCCCACAACCTAAGATAAGTGATTGCATTGTCAAATCTGTCCTACTGTTGAGAAGTTTTACCCAATGTTCTACAGAAATCTTTTTAAGCCCTTGAGATGTAATCCTGTCTTGAGCAGAGCGCAGATTTTTGCTGTCTCCTGTGAAGATTCTGGTGTTGAGCCATAGTAGAAACCACACATTTTGGAGTAACATCTCTCTTCAGTAGCTTGAAAGGAAAATGCAGAAATTCTAGAAGGAAAAATCTTACTTGCTCTCTAGGTAAGAGGAAAATCTTAAATGCAGGTATTAAGCCTTCCTGTTCTGTGTAGCTCATCAAATTATTATGTCTTGTTGCTCCCCATCACAGGTTAAAGTTTCACAGTTGCAGAGAACCCCCCAAAAGCTTAAAATCTGCCTTGACTGTGAAATAGGACCTGTAGGCTACAATCACCTGCCCATTTACCTAGGAAGAACTTCCATTGAGTTCAATAGGACTTGTATCAGAGTTGGCATGTATAGGATTGCATTGTTGGTCTTGCTTCTTTTCTTTTAAAGCACTTCTTCTTCCCACGCTCAGCATGAAAAACTCTTTGTAGTTTGCTGTATACATATATTCCTTAAACCTGTTCCAGCAACACAGTTCTTTTAATATTATACTGTATAATATTACCTATATATTGTACATATAAATAAAAATAAAACTTCCAATAGCAGCCTTTGCCAACCTGCCTGGTGTGTTGGACAGCAACTCCTGGTCCACATGGCCTAATAATATTTATTCTCTGCAGGTGCAGTTCTGTGTTTCTTTAGGCAAAAAAGGGCCTACAGCATGCTGGCTGGGGAATACTGGGAGTCGTAGGACTTTTTCCATCTAAACATGCATAGATTTGTGCCTGGTTCTGTTAAAGTGACCTAATGTTGTTTCTGATGTTGCAAGAGTATACTACAACAGCCTGAATTCTCATATATTCTCATTTTTTTTTTTTTTACTTTTTCACTCTTCTCCAACCCCTTTTCTTTCTCAAATAGGAAAACTGCAAGAAATTTTAACCAGCCCATGTGCAAAGCTGCCAGAACAACTGTGGTAGAGGTAAGCTAGACCAGGTATATGTTTATTGTTAAAGAGCTGTTCATATATTCTACCTAAGAGTGAACCCTCTTTTTCACAAATGCTGCCTTCACTTCAGCTGGGGAGAGTAAATTCCCTATTTGTGTGAGCGTGTGTGTTCTTTGCTTTCTTTTGGTAGGATGTTAACAGCTCAGAGAACATTATTAGAAGATACACATACATAATTGGTAACAAACCATTGATAACAGTGGGGAGTTGTTGGTAGTGCCTTCATTACAGCAGGAATGGAATCATGAATGGCTGCTGTGTCACTTGTTGAACCATAAAAACCAAACACTAGTTTGCAAGAGTAGCTGAGAAAGGCCTTGGGTTCAGCCCAGGTCAGAGCTCTTCTGACACAGTGCAGGAAGGAGCTCTTTTCTTGGCAAGTTCTGCATTGCCTTGGTCAAAAGCTTTAGCCTCTTTCCTTCCAGCAGTGAGCAGGGTCAGAGCGTGAGTCAAAGTGGCTGGACTTTGGAAAGTAGGTTGAAGTCCGTAGGAAACTAGGCCGAGGTCCACGTAGGCCTCTGGGACAGCAGGGCACAAAGAGTGGAGGTCCACGTGGCTTAGTGTTCCACTTGCAGAACTCTCCCTTCAGGTAGAAAGCTTTCATTTCTTCAAGAAAGCCCTGCTAGAACTTTTCTTGCTGACATTTTTTTTTCTGTGTGGAAGTAGTTTCCCTTTTCTAGTCTCACACATGCTACTTTTCTGTGTGGAGGTTTGTGGATAAGCATTTGGTTGTGTGGCACAGGGCCTGCAGTGTGAAGAGCCGCAACATAGTTCTTGTGATTGCAAACTAGTGTTATGTCTAAACTATCCTTTAAATTGCCAGATTCCCTTTGCAGGCCGGGAAAATTGAAGGATTTCATGAAAGTTCAAATGACTTGAATCAAGCTGATGATCTGTAGTGAACACTGTCGACTTTTTAACATACCATTTTCTGTCCTTTTTAAAGTATTTGTTTGCTCAGAATGTTTATAACCCTTTTGCTGATCAATACAAGGAACAGCATGGAAAGCAATATATTCGATTTTGTGAGATCACCAAGTCAAAGGCAAGATTCTCCGACTAGCCTTCTGAAAGCTAGGCCCCAAGCAGACTTCCTTTTGGGGAACAAAGATGAACAGAATTTTCTGTATCAGTTTTACACAGCATGCTATCTGTTAAAATCAGCTCGGAGGTCAACATCTAGCATGAGAATGAGGAATGTAGGGAGCCTGGCTCTCTCCCCCTTGACCTCCTGGCATTACCAGTTTTAAAAGGGATGTTGGAAAGTAGAACTGTGGAGGACACACTCATTCAGATCCCGAGTAATTATTTCTGCTTGAACTGAGCAATATTAGCTGTATTGGCCAATGATGTTCCATCTTGATATAAAGGAACTTCATATGTTACCACATCTCTGCTACATTTGCCTCTTTCTCTTCCTCCTTTTTCATAGTCTATTCAGATGTTTTTTCCTTTCCATTCATAGTGTACTTTTTAAATGAAAAATTTTCTTGCCAAAGAAAGAAGCTAGATTGGTACAGGTCTAAATTTTCTTTGATTTTGGAGTATTCAGGGCTGTCAGATGACTTTGGGGATAACAAGGAAAAGAAACATGGCTGGGAAGGTGGGAACAGTTAGAATTGCATGCAGAAATGCTCTGTCACACATAACTAATTAAGTAAATGTCATTAAAAACCCTACAATGGACTCGTGGTTGCTTCGCAACAAAACTTCGAATCCATTATCATTTTTTTATTTCAGATACAGTGGACCTCATTACAATATGGGACAGAAATGAACAGGATCCATTAGTCACTTAGCATTTGGCATTTGTTTTTATTGTTAATAGAGAGAAACGGGCATGCTTATAAATGTACACTTATAATGAAAAGCCTTAGCTCTTGCATTTTCTTAATTCTGATTTTACTTTGCAAGGTAGGATTCTGGGATGTGCCCATGTCCCACGTTTTCCAAGGTTTAAAGGAGGATATTTTCAACCCCTGCTGAAATAACCTTGAAAAGACTGCTAGAAATGCAGAGAGCCAACACGGTACCCTGCCTAAACCAGCATATCTATCTTAGCACAACAGTGTTAACAAAGCTGAGGTTGTAGATCATATGCTATCAGCTCAGTTTAGCTTTGCATTTTCTGTAGATAAAACACATTTTCCCATTCTGTTTTCTTTACTGATCAACCCCAAAGGGTTCCTAACCTTCTATAGCAAACAAACACTAAAATTGTTACATAAAATACAACATCAGAATGATGGCAGTGTTTATGACAGATCATTGGCTTGACAATCAGTGTTGGAATCTTCATGAAATGTTTTCCAGGGTGGAAGTGTTAGAATGAGATGTTTCTAGGCCCTGAACAGTTAAACTGACTACTTCAAGGGCTGATTCAGCCCAAATCCTGAAACACAGTTTACCATTATGAGAATGAGTGTAGCTTTGTCCTAGGCTTGTAAAGTCATCCCTACCTCCTCTGGCATGGTCACAAGGAGGAGTTTGAAAGGTTTTACTTCACTTTTATATCAATCATGCTGCTTACCATCTTGTTTGAATTCAGTTGAAATTGAGTAATTAATCTTAACTTGACTACTGGAAAGAAACCATCTTCAAATTATAGTCTGTGAAGTGGCCTTGCTTCCTTCAGGTTAGGGTTCAGACAATTGCCATGCAGTCTATTAGTTTTTAAAAATACTGCAGAAAATTTTCATCACTGTGGAGAGAGAGGAAGTGAAAGGGGAGAGAGGGAGGCCCCCAAAGCATGCCTTCCTGTCCCACCCATCTGGTGTTGGAAAATTTGGCATTTCCTTGCTGCAAAGGGGGAAGTACTGGTAAGTTTGGGTGGGGGGAGGGGTAGAGCTATTCATGGTTTTTCCACTCTAATGGGGGCCCTGCACCCCAAATTCGCATGAATGTGTAAGGCTAACTATACACGATCCAACTTACATTCAGATTTAGCTTAAAATATGAATTTCCATTTTCTCAGGAAAAGAACTCATTCATAACTTGGGGTCTGCCTGTAATCAGTTGGAGTTAATCTTTGCACATTATCTTGCCAAAGCAAAAATATGGACCTGGGCATTCCAGATTCACTTAACTGGACAAGTTCATCCAACTGTTTAGCTAAGATGTGAAGTTTTTCTTTCAGATTTTGGCTATAGGAAACTCTTAACATTCACAGAGTGCTAGTTTTATTATTTTATTTTTATTTTTGACTGCTAAAGGGTTTTGTTCTATGGGTGGGTGGGATGCAGTGGGTAGTTGGAAAACAATAATTTTGATTTTTTCTGTTTTCGGCTGTGTACTCCTCTGCAAAAGTATGAGGCTTGGTTGTTTGCTTCTTTCAAATTGGGAACTGCATGCTTGTTTCCTTCGTGGTGCTTCTCAAAGCTGTTTGAAGTTTCTGTGGGAAATTGGTATGCTCTGGCTGTGCTGTGGCAATATGCATCTTGAGTCATGGTGGGTTATTCTGTTGCATTATTTCAGTTCTTTGCCAGCCTAAAATTGCAGGTGGTATGAAGGAAAGTATGTGAGCAAGAATTTGGTCCAGTTGCTCTTCATTGTCAAAATGGTAGCTATTGGACTGGGGAAGAGCAGGCTACTTAGATGGACTACTGTTCAGGAGGGTAGAAAGTAACCAGAGATTCCAGTGAGATCGCCTTCCAGGAGGATGGTCCAAGACATTTTTCAGCCTGAGGGATCTGCGGTGTTGGGAATTCCGTTCCACAAAGTTTCAATTCTGCTGGCAGACAGTAGCAGATGGGCAAGTTTGGCCAGCCTGGGGGCCACCTGCATCCAGACAGGCTGCATTCTCCTTTTCATGTGATCAAAAACCCATCAGGGGCATAATCAAAGTAAGTCTGGTTAGCCATCAAACTTTGGAGAATTGAAGGGACAAATATAGTTTGTTCTCAAGCATCATTGGTGGCAGGGCCTGCACTAGAGGCCCAAGGCAGCCACGTGCAGCTTTGGACTGCATTTTGCTCACCCCGCACTAAAGCTTGGAGGTACTGTAACATCTTGTTGCTCCAGCTGAAAGACTAGTGTGCCACTCTGCTAATCCTTGTATGAATCCTACAGCATACACCCTTTGATGCCAGCTTGCCTGTTTTTCCTGCTTGCCTAGGTAGAAGAAATTGTTGATGTAGGGTCATTTGCCCCTGAAGATATTCATGTCCCCAAGATCTATGTCCATCGCCTCATCAAAGGGGGAAAGTTTGAAAAAAGAATTGAGGTAAGTTGAAATGGGTTTGCAAGCTATCCTTTGAGTTTGGTCATACAGTGTAGGCACATCTGTGTAATTTCTCTTATTTTGCACAATTTATTCTGGTTTTGCTAGTCATGGGGAAGGATACGAAGCTGTGCAGGGCATTGAAGCCATGCCCCCAAGCACAGAAAATCTTGCTTAGCCCAGCTTCTTTTGACTTCAGCATTTTAGCATTTTAGAACACCTCAGTTTCCCCATCATCATGCCAGACTTTCATTCTCTAGTCCCTGTAGACACAACTGCATAAAATGTCCCTTGAAAAGACTTGCTGGGCACATCTGAGCTGATGCTTGAGGTCTAATGATCTCTGTAATGAAGGCAGCTGGCTAATGACCCTGGAATCAGCTGGTGGAGATAAATAGTTACATTGGGGGGCAGGGTCTCATGTGTGCAACCACCCCATGTCCTTCGACTGGGCTACTTACTCTGCAGACCTGCCTGGGCCTTGCACCTCTTCTCTGCTGCTATAGACACAATGTCATTTGGATGTCCTAGAGCAGGAGTGGGCAATTTGTGGCCTTCTGGATGTTTTGGCCTATAGCTTCCATGTTCCCTCACCATTGGCTACATTGGCTAGGGCTAATTGGAGTTGTGGCCCCCAGATGTTTCATCCTACAAGTTGCCCAGCCCTTGTCTATTGTAATATTTGAAGAGTCTGATGACTAGATGGTTTCCCTTCATAGCAGATTGGAAACAAGATGGCTTTGTTTTTCTTCTTACACTTATTTGACCAACCTTTAAAAACTACAAATGGTTTTTGAATGGTCATGTGAAAGATTCTGGGGTTCCTTGAAGAGCTGGCAGGAGTCATTCAATGAGAAGATCAGTACTGGTGGAGAAATGGCGGGCTAGCATCCTCCATTAATACAGTGTTCTTTCTAGAATATTCCCCAAAATCCTTTGTGAGGTACAAGGGTTCCACAAAGCAAACATCTGGGTTTTCCTTCGTACACAAGTCAACATGGAAAGTTTTGCTGGAAGATAGAGGACTTGAAAGCCATTTCCCTTATTACAAATTCTGATCTCTGCATCTGTTCCAAAAATGCCTCCTTTCCCAATAGATACTTTGGTTCTTGGAGAAGATCTGACGATATATATTATAGTCTAATTTTGTTATTCTTTGTTTCCCCAGCTCTCTTCTGTATTCAACTCCAACACAAACTTTTTGCAGTCTCATTTTAAGTGTTTTATATAGTCTAGACCAAAGTTACAGTAGGGATTAATTTTGGTCTGCTGAGTTTTGTAATCCTGCTAGGGATCTGTCTTGTCAAATAGGCAATGAAACCACAAGCTCCTCTATTTACTGAATTGAGCTCGTGTGCAGAGAGAGAGACTGTAAAAATAGCATCTGTCTAGGAGGTTCTGACTGCATTTTCCAAACATAAATTGCACTGGATATAATGCAGTTTTCCATCAGAGTGCTGGGCAAGGAATTCAGCATAAAACAGATTTATTTTTGAGTGCATGGAAAAGCAAGATACGCTCTTATCATATTGAAAGAAGAATAATGAGAGTTGTTTATCTGGCCTGGCTGTGGGTGAAGGAGCAAAACAATCAACTGGAAACCTAATTTCTATTTAAACGTTTATTAAATATCTCTTTCAAAGATATTGAAATTCTTCTCTAAACTGAGAAGTAGCAGAGGTGTTGGGGTCTGGGTACATACCACAGCTGCAGATGCAAGAGTCCCATCCCTGTAGTTTTAACAAGTCTAGTCAGGAGCAATTGTCATGGTGACAGTCTGGCTCTTGCTTAATTTCCACTCCCGGTTTTGTTGTGCGTGTAGGAACACTCTCCGTTGCTGTGGCCAAGGAGTTCTTTCCTGCCTGCAGGACAGGAACAAGAAGTATAGTTTCCCCACTCCAACTCCTGTTGGAAATTTGCTCTGTAAAATTAGGCGTATTGAATCCTTTTCTCTCTGAGGGCCAAATTCCATTTTAAAGAAGCATTCCAGTGGTGGATGGAGCCGAAATACCAAAAAGGCCAGTGTTCTTCTTTGTGCATCATGGATATGGGTGCTACACCTGTGTGGAACCTGTTACTGGGAAGATTCACTAGCTAAGAGTGTTTTGGCAGGAACCCTTCCCCAGAATGAGGGGAAAGCTACACAAATGGCAGGAAGCAATCAGTGGTTTATGGGAATGGGATAGGGCTTCCTGGGGACCCTCTGATGAACCCTGGATTTGGCCCACTGAGCCTGAGATTCTCTAATCATGTGCTTCATCAATCCACATCCCCGGGATTTTAACTGGGTGTGTTTTATTCAACTGATATTGGTGGATTCAAAATTATTTTATTTTATTTGGTCTAAAGTGGAAGCACTTTTAAAGAAGCTGATGTCCATGGCCCATGCTGGCTGTCATCAAAACACTTGGTTTTCCTTATTGTACCAATTCATAGTCCAGTTATTTTTCCAACACAAATCTACTAAAACCTGAAAGCTGCTGAATGTTAATCTGGCCTGCCTGTGAATCCAAGTAGATGTACACCAGCACAAGTGCTGGCTACAGAAGAAGACAAAATTGACAGCTTGGCTAAATAATTTTAAAAATCCCATTGATTATCTGGGCTGTGTCTAATTCATGTTTAAAGTTCTTTTTCACATTGACCCTGGAAGGACTCTTACCTTTGTGGTTGCTGCTGAGATTCACTGCTCAGCCCCTCCTCATGTCATAGAAAACTAGCAAAGGTTTCCCGGGGCGTTTCGTTTTCCGAGAACAAGCATGGTGACTGTGTTTTTCTAGTCTAGTGTTTGAGAGTCTCTCTCTGAAGGCCAGTGTTCTTTGGACTAGACGGGGAAGAGAATGCTGTGCTAAGCTCATAACTGCAGATGGCATCCTGGAGCAACGCTTTTGAGGGAACAGAAACTGGAAAACAGTTTTCCTGTTTGCACTGCTTAGTGAGTGTAGTTCTGCTGCAGACAGAAAAGGAAAAAGATGAGGCAGTTAATCGTCCATTAGCCCAAGGGATGGATAAACAGCAGTCTAGTTGGGAGGGACTTTTGCTGTTGGGAGCAGTGCAAGCAGAAAGTCTCTGCTAAAGCGCCTGCATTTCTGGTTAGAAAGATTGCGGAATAGGAAATACGAAAGACCCCTGCCTGAGTCCTAGGTTGCCCCTGGCCAGTCAAAGTAGAACATACTGGGCTGCTGGAGGAGTGGGGAGCTGTTGCAGCCACGAGAGCTGGATTTTCCCCTGGGATTGCTCCAGCACCCAAGGCGCAGCAGTAGTAGTTTGGAAAGGTTTAATGTCCACTTTAGGAGCAGTTTTTAAAGGCTTTAAGAAACACAGATGTGTGGTCTTAATAACAAAAATGATCCATACGAAACATAGCAGAGACAAATATGTTTGGTATGCAGAACAAATAGTAGGCAGTCTCTATGGTCTGTCTCATCGTTTTCTGAGAACAAATGGTTATTCTTTGATTTTTTTGATGTGGAACCAAGGCCCATGGTAGGGGTTTGTATTGTCAAATAGTAAATGAAACTGGAAGTTTGTCTACCTAGTTGGGGACAAACAAATTTAGATGGATGAGCTAACTGGGCACATGTAGAGTGGTAGAGCTGATACTAGCCTTCCCCAGCCTGATGCTCTCTAGTTGTTTTGGGCTAATGCTCATCGGTTCTAGCCAACATGGTGAAAGTCAGGAATTCTGGAATGGTGGTCCAAATATCTGGAGGACACCAGGTTGGGGAAAGCTAGTCTGAATAATCAGACCTCAGCAGGAGATCCTGTACAATGAAGTGGTGCTGCCAGGGAAGGTTTTGAGAGTAGATGTCCAGTGCCCCACTTGTTGGCAAAGCGGCCAAATGCATCAGGGCCATCCTACCACATTTCAAGTAAACGAAGTTGTTCATTTAAATAGATGGGGGCTGGCTTGTAAAACTCTTAGGTCAAGAATTACTTAACTGTTTTGTTGCTAAATCAGCCTAGCCCAACTTAACTGTGTCTCTTACAACTTCAAATCGCCTGAAACCTGTCTTGGATGTAAATAAATGTCAGTTTGTATAAGGACTGAGATATATATCCATCCCTAGTGTCCCATGAAAGGATACAACAGATGTCAGCATTTTCTCTCTCTCTCTTTTCTAGCGATTATCTCTCCGCAAAACTGAAGATACCCAAAGCAAAAAGAAGACAGCCGGTGATAATGTGAGGGAGAGGATCATAAGGAGAGCAGCTCTTGAATTTGAGGATGGCATGTATGGTATCCTTTGTCTATGCTGAGAGTCCTTGCATTGTTCTCTGTTTGAAGGCACAGATGCATGAATAAAGTTCTGAAAAGGATGAGTTGAACCTTAACGAAATCTCTTAAGCTAACCTTGGTATTGGCATTCCACTGCTTGCCAGCAACTTCATTAGTCCTGACATCACCGTTCATCTACAGAGTGAAAATGGAGTTCTTGGCTTGGTAAGAGTACTACAGATGCTGTTCTGTAAAAAACAGCAATAAAGGGAGGGAGGAGCACTTATGCAGGATACTCTTAAAATGCTTGCCTGGACGGTTGATTCAGTATACATGTATTTTAAACTAGGGCCCCTATCCAACTGAAGATGAAGTTGACGCGGACCTCATCAATGCAGGTAAATCTGTTTAGTCTGTCCTTCAAAATTCAATCCTGCCCTTCCTTTAGTTAATTTAGTGAACTGTACGGCCCTGTTCTACGTGGTGTCCACATGGAGAGCCAGCAAAACGGAGTAGGGGTTCAAGTTAGTAGGAGCTGCGGAGAGGCTTGTTCAGGATGTTATCTCTAGGGGATGAGGATGCAGTTCTCCCCTGGCCAAGGCTTCTGTCTGAGAAGAGTCTTGGAGTGTCCTTCTGGGGACATTTTTATTCTTCCCCTCTGTGGTGATCTTACATCTTTCCCATGGTTGTAGGTCTGACCCCTGAGTCCTGACATATACACAACTGCCCCCTTTATCCTCCCAACAAAATATTGAGGTTGGTTAGGATAAGAGCCTCATGTTTTTTCAATTTGCTTCACTTCTGATAAGAATTTTTAAGTTAGGTCCCTTCTTTGGTGGGCTATAGCCAATCATTTAGTGGTTTCCTAACTTTGGCATACAGTATCCCCTCCCTCCATCTAAAAGGTTGAAATGCCTCTCCTTATGCTTAACTCATGTTCCTGTTCACATTCAGCTGTTCAGTCATGTCTGACTATAAGCGATCCTATGGGCCAAATCTCACCACACTTTTTGATCCAATGACACCCCTTTCACCATTTATTTATTTATTTATTTATTAATTAAAACATTTTTATGCCGCCCCATTCGCCGAAGCCTCGGGGCGGCTTACAACATAGATAAAACACCTGAACTGTGCTCTGCCCTGCATCCTCTTTGATGGAGTCTAGCCACCTTGCTCTTTGGCGACCTGGTTTTCTCTTGCCGCTGAGCATTCCAAGCATTATACCTTTTTCTAATGAGCTTGATCACACAACATGGCCAAAATAAGCGAGTCTCAGCTTTGTTATCTTGCCGACCAGGGACGCGTCTGGTTTAATATGCTCCAGCACCTGCTTGTTCATCATCCCCGCTGTCCATGGAATGTGCAGGAACCTCCACCGACACCACAGCTCAACTGAGTTGGATACTTAACTACTTTAAGCTAAAATGTATTGGGGATTGTTCATGTTTTGCCTTTGGGTCCACCCTCTTATCTTCAGCCCCATCCAGTGCTGGAATTCAGAACCTCTCAGACTTCTCTGAAATTGAATTCTGTTTGCAGGCAGAAAGAGATCCAGCAGCTTGCACTGCAACACCCTGGTTTGTAAACAAGCTTTCCATTTCTGTGCAACCATATTTGATGTTAAAGGTCTTTGTATAAAGGCATGCCACATGGTCTCTTTCTCTGGGACCCCCATGAGGATCTCTTATTAAACTTTCTCCACTGTAATATTGCACTTGGAGATGGGCAGACCCTTGTCATTGCAGGATAAATGTTTGTTTCTATCAAAAATGTGTTCATTCAAAATAGAGATAATAAATACTCGGTGCTTCCTTGACCAGTTAGCCACTTAAAGCTTCACATCTGTTTCTTCTATAGGTAAAGAGACAGTCACTGTGCTTCCAGGCGCGTCGTACTTCTCTAGTGATGAATCTTTTGCAATGATTCGAGGGTACGTGATGCAAAGATCTAATTTGCTAAATGTCAAGAGCACAAGCCCAGCTGGTAGTTGAACTTATTAGTAGTCCATCGCAAAGTGGCTATCTGTCAACCTTCTGCAAAGCAGCCATGCAATTAGTAGCTGGATATTGGAACTCAATAGATTTAGCAGCTGGATATGGGAGCTCAAAACAGTCAGCTCTCCTAGCTCTAACACTTGTTGCTGCAAATCCTTTGTAATATATCCCGCAGACCACTGTAGCCGTATTTGCTGGTGTTTCAAGCTAAAATTATTTATTTACCATTTATTTATTTGGGACTTTCTATGCTACCATTGCAATTTGTGACTCCTGTAGGTTGAAATTGGCCCCTGGAGTCCTAATGCTGTCAACTCCTGTGTTATATGAACAGGATAAGAGGCTGACAGTGTTACTGCAGCAAATCCATTGTGTGCTTTGTGATGTGTTTGTGTTTTGTAAACTCCACATGTTGGAAATTTGATCTCTGGCTAACCAGTCTGGTCCACTGAGTTCCTGGCAACATATTCCCAGTAGGATTCATCTCATGTTTATCCAGCTGCATTTATCCATTTAATAATGTTTAGTAGGCATGCAGATGAAATGAGAGAGTGCCACAGTTCTTGATGTTTCTTTTCTTCCAGATGTGTGTTGATTTTCTGATTTGCTGTTTTAACAGGGGACATGTTGATTTGACTATGCTTGGAGCAATGCAGGTGTCTAAATATGGTGATCTAGCCAACTGGATGATTCCTGTAAGTAGATGGAAAAGGTGTAATAATTTTCCTTTTCACCAATGCTTAATTTAATTTGAAGTGATTTATAAATGTTAGCTGGAAGGGCATAATGTATTTTTTGGAAAAAGCAGAGCAGCAAACGTTTTGTTTTGATTTTGGTGATTTGTTTAATTAGCCTGGAATAGCTTCATGAAGTACATAGTACTATGAATTATATTACCTTCTTGGGGAAAAAAAAGTTTGCAGGATTGAAAGAGAAGCATGGGAAATGATACTGTGGTTTTTTTCTGTAATGATATCTTATAGTGGGAAAATAGTCCTAAGCCACTGAAAATCACACTTTAAGAGTAGAGAAGCTGGAGGTTAAGGAGAGGTTAAAAGTGAGGGATGACATTTCCTTGGGGTTTATGAATATCAGTATCATAAACACTGGCGTTGCTGATTTGATGCAGTGGTGAATAAACCACTGAACCAGTGATGGATGCCCTGAGGCTAGCAGATGATAAATCCTAAAGAATAAATCTGGGAGAAATCCTGTAGTTAGCATATGAATATACTGAAAATTGCTATCAGTTCTTATCTACAGCTCTTATATTCTGAAACTATTTTTACAAAATGTGTGCCTCTGGTAGTTTATCCTGGGCAAAATCTTATTATCAAAGCAGTCTTAATAATCAGATCATGAGTCTGTCTACTCTTGACAATAGCTTTCCAGAGAGACAGACAGAGACCTTTCTGACCTCTTTCGATTAATCTTTGCAGTGCTCTTTTAAAAGACCTTAAACTTCCAAAGTTCATATATCATAGTAATATAGTTAAGAAGTAATAAAATTGCTATGGAGAGGTGTTGAGAGAGTCTTTGTTTAGGAAAACAAGGAAAATGTGCAAAGATGGCTTTTTTTTTTTTTTTGGCAAATCTTTATTTGTTTTCAGGAAACATAGTAGAGGGAAAAAGAAGAAAGCCCAAGGTTGTTCTAAGGATTTAACAAGCAACTCCTCTTTTAAACACATTTACAATAAACAAAGATCTCTATCAACCACTTTCCTATCCCACCAATTCACTTCTCAGTCATATATTTATCTAGCCTATACAGTTATTTATACATTGTAACGTTGCCTTGGTAATGAATAGTAATCACAAACATTTATAAGAATTATATTTTCTTTAACCATTATTTATATTGTTCATATTAAGCCTTCCATCTTTGAGTACATTCTTCAGCTGGTCTTCTGTTGAAACAACTAGTTAGCCTTGCCATTGTTACATACTCGGCTAGCTTGTTTTTCCAGGCTAAGCAGCTTTCCACTTTGAGGCAATGCTGGCATTAGTTTTTAGGGTGATGCACATTTGTTAATTGGAAATCCAGTGCCTGCATGTATGAATTTTCATGTGTGTGTTGGCTCTCCAATTGCTTTATATGGGGAAAAAGTTGTCATGCATAAACTGGTTCTCCAATTCATCTTTTCATGAGTATATTTGCTGGGAGCACATCGGGGAAGTGATCTGCACTATGCTTTGTTCCAGCTTCAGTGTAACTAAAGGAGTCCTGGAGTGAGAGGAAGTAAGTGGTAGGTCAGGTTAGGTAGATCTACGAGGATTTACTAGTAGTTCTCCAGGAGACTTGTGCTAGCTCAGCAAGCAGTTCTCACTTCCAGTGGGTGATCAGTAGCAAAAACAGGAGGCTTTTCCCCTCCTCAGGTGGCTGAAAGCATAAAAGCTTAGCGGGAGGAAAAAGAGTCTGTACAAAAGGTAACAAGGTAAAGGTAAGTTTCATGCAGATAGGTTCCATTCCCTCCCAAGAACTTTTCCAGGTTTTGACCTGTAGCCACCACCTCTGGCTATAGGGTACCTGCATGCAGCACTTTTGAGGTTTTACACAGATCGAGCAGATGCTCCTACTAGAGCAGGGGTATCTAGTAATTCAGCCTAAGGTCAACATAATTTGTTGGACCCAGTTCTCAGGCATTGCATTCGAGAAGTGGGTCTGAAGGCAAAGGGAGCAGGGCCAAAGTACCAAAACAACTGGTGTATTTTACTGTGATCTTCCTTTTGCCAGGAACTAAGCTTTAGCAGAGGTATTTTCACCTTTTAAAGATTGGGAGGAAAACATTAAAAGGCCAAGAAACTGCCACATAAGCAGCAGGCTGGGAAGAGTGTAGGGGAGGTGTGATCCTCTGGGACACCCAGGAAGGGCCAGCTTTGAGGTTCAACACTTCTGTGGTAAAGGATGTATTTCAAAATTGAACTGTGCGTTGTCTTTTTGTCCAAAGGAATGCAAATAGCAGAAATGCCCGTTTTGCTCATATCTGCAGCTCAGTTCTGTAAATTGTGGCAAGCTGAGTTGTCAGGGATGCACCTAGGTGTCTGCGAATGTCTGCAGGTTGAAAAGCAGGGTTGTTCTGACAGCTTCAGAGAAAAGGGTGATGGTGTCAAAAATGGTGGCCATCTTAGCTGAAGTTTTGACTGCACATGTTCAACTGGCCTGTGTAGATTTTCTGTATCTCATTTAAAGGAAGCTTAACTAGTCACTCTGTGGTTTCTTTTATTCTTTCTACTGAAGGGACCCCCACCCCCACCCCGCAAAATCATTTCCTAGCATTCTTTGGTAATGCTCCTTGGTTTCTTCTTTCCCCTTTTCTCTCACTTTCCCTTCTTTCAAATCTAATCTAGCTGGCTGAAATGGCAGTATGATGACAATAATTTTGTAATTACACCATTTTGCAGCTGCTAGTCAATGGGGAAAAATGACAGACCAAATATATTTCAAAAGCAATCCATCTTTGGGTTATATCCAGCCATGTACTTTTTATTGAGGAAATGGAAAATAAAGTACTGGAATATGTGGGGTTGCTATCATTTTTTATTATTATCATCATCATCTCAAGCTGTAATATTGGTCAGTGGATATTAATGTTCTTTAAGCTTTACAGAAAATGCTGTATAGGAAATTGTTCAATGCCTTCTTACAGTCAGTTAGTTGTTGACAACTTTAATTATTTCTAATCCTGAAAAATAACATATTGCTGAGCACTGGTTTTTGTGCAGTTATTTTTAAGCCTTTTAAGTTTCTTCCACAGAAGGAAAGTATAAATAAGCTCTTATTTTAACTCCTTTTTGGATACTTCTACACATTGCAAAGCTAACTACTTCTTACAGAATGATGTGTTTTCTTTTACAATAGTCCTCTATTTGTAGAGCTGCCAGGAGATTGTCCCCCATTTGAAACCATCTATTTGCAAGGTTCTCCTGACTAATTCCAGTTTAAAGATAAGGAACTGTAAGAACTGCAGTTCACCTGCAAGTAGCACGTGGGCAGCAGACTGGACAGGCAGGTCACAGGTCACCTGGCCATAGTCCTTTGCACTACAACAAGATGCCCTGTGTTTCTATTTAAACCATACACATTAGCATATCCATGTGCTATTTTGTGGAGATGCATTCTTTCTTGTTTAGCAATTCCTAAGTAGCCACCACAAGACTAAACAGGCTTGCTTGATTGTGAGGCCCTCTCACTGGCATATGATGAAGCCAGTGCTATGTAAAGGTCTTCAAGGCTAGATCCATTGTTGTGGGGAAGCTTCTGAGCAATTTCTTGGCCCAAGAGAACCCTTTCAGTGGCAAAAGGAGCAATGCCTGATCTAGTTAGGAATGGAAGAAGTAAGTAGTGTGAACTCAAACCATTCAACAGTTCCCTGTAGAGAATCAGGCCTGGTGCAGTGGAGGAGTATATTCTGCATGACTTAGCTTGCACCCTTAGCCAAGAGAGAACCAAAATGGTAGTGCTGGCTGCTGGTTGGTGGGCCTTTTAAGAAGCTTGGGCCCTAGCAACTTGAGCTCTGATGCATGCCATGGAAACCTTCCGCACAAGTGAAATGTATGCAAAAATGCAGTAGAATAAAATCTGAACCAAGAAAAAGAGCAACAAAATAAAATTAGCCTAAGTAGACAAGTGTCCAGGATTATCATCCATGAATTCTGCATGTTTTTAGGTTAGTTCCTGAACAGTCAATATCTTTGGTTCTGGAACAGAAAAGATTGATTAGAAACTAGAGCTTCCTGTTGCAAAATTTATTATTTCCTGAACTTACAGTTTTGACATCCTGCCTTTCTTCTTCTTGCACAAGACACACAAAGCAACTTGCAAGCTTCTCCTCCTCTCCATTTTATCCTCACAACAGCAGCTGCCCTGTGAGGTGGGTTAGATTGAGAGTCAGCAACTGGCCCAAAGTCACCCAGTGAGTTTCATGGCCAAGTGAGACTAGAACCCACATCTCCTGAGTCCCACTCCACACTGGCTCTGGCGATGCAGCCTGTATACTGAGTGACTGTTAACTGGTTTGTGCTACTTCAAAGGGTGGTTGTGTAGTCTAGCAGCACTGGTACCGGATCAGAACCTCTGGTCATGCAGTTCACATGCACTGGTATCGCCGTAGATACAAGGAACCGATATCTGTTTGGTCCGTTACCTTATTTCCCCTTATGTAAAATAGCCCATCTCTCATGGTGGTTTTGGGGATGATTGTATTAAGAAATTGAGCATTTTTTGCATTTGATGATTATTTAATTTTATATTTTGTGCAGGTCTGGTGCCTATTTAATCACTTTACGGTCTAGTGGGAGATGCAGGATGCAAAGAATGTCCATTTATTTGTTTTTGTTTTGTTTGAAATTTGCCTTTTAGGGTAAGATGGTGAAAGGAATGGGTGGTGCCATGGATTTGGTGTCCAGTGAAAGGACTAAAGTGGTTGTCACAATGGAGCACTCAGCAAAGGTAAAACAAACAAACCAAAATAAAACTAATAGAAAGCAATATGCCTGTCCTGATTTTTAAAAATTGATTAGTGCCCTGTTGTGCTCCTTGCCTTCATAGGAGTGATCGCTCGCACAGCAGGGCTTTCTCACTTTAAAAAATAACCTAAAATGAGTTGAAATGTTCATTTCTTGAATGGGCCTAGTCAGCAGAGCTGATAGAAGGAAGCATCACTGCTCTTTGCCAATCCAGGCATATTCTAAGAAGGCTGGAAGTCGTGCAAGTGGCTGCTCTTGGAGGCACACCTGACTTGGAGCTGCCCTGTTAGCTCATTGCTTCTGTCTGCGCTAGCCTGTGGCCTACCTCCTTGGGCTTTAATTCCCGCCTTGTATCTGAATGGTGCACCATGTGAAATAGCCGATATCCTGAGGCATTCAGATATCTACTGTGCTAAGAGAAGTGGCCTTAAGAGCCATGCTGGGTTAGACCAGCAGTCCATCTAGTCAAGCGGTAGTCCAGGCATGGGTACCATTGTCCGTTTCCACGCATGTTCATCAGCAGCAATCTTCCAGATTGAAGTGAGAATAAAGCCCTCATTGGTAGAGGGGTTGCCAACGCGCATAGAGAAAAATGGGTGCACTATTAGACTTAGAGAGCCTGTAGAGAGGATACAAAAGAAAGAGGTGTAAGAACTGCAGAAGATTTCTGCTGGATCAGACCGAGTTTCCCTTGGATCCAGCATTGCTTTCAGAGTGGCGCAACCAGCTGCCTGTGAAAGCCCATCAGTAAGACATGAGTACGACAGCACTTTCCCACCTATCTTCCCCAGCAACCAGTGAACATACATACATCCAGTTGTAGTAGTAACTATTGACAATCTTATCCTCCTTGATTGATGTCAGGAAAAAAACAGCCTCCCTGACATCCTCCCTGCACTGTTTAAATTATTTGGCCAGAAAATGATGCCTTTGTCACAGACATGGGAGTCACTTGGTAGTGGCAAGATTTTGTGTTGCCTAAGCAAGTATGTATATGACGAGACCCTTTTTGAATCTTAAAGTGCAATAACTAGTAAGGAATGAATATAAGGCCAGGTCAACTCAAATTATATTCTTTTTATATTGTGTTTATTTATTATTGTGAGCCGCCCTGAGGCTTCGACGAATGGGGCGGCATAGAAGCCTCCTAAATAAATACATACATACATACAATACAATACAATACGTGTTCAGAAAATGCTGTATTTGATGCTTGCTTGGGGAAGTTGAGTTCCTCTTTCATGGTTAGCTGTTTGCTCACGTTGATCTGGTATACAGCGGCCTCCTGCAGCAGTCTGGGGTCTTGTGACGAAGAAGCAGGCATCTTATTGCTGGGCTAACATGGGAAGTGGCCCTGAGGTGGTAATTTTCTCCCTCTTGCTCCTATGCTGGTGCAGATAAAACTTTATTTTATGTGTTTGTTTATACAGTGATATATAAACTGCCTTTTCATGCATAACTGCTTTCATGAGCTGTGTACACCATTTCATTAAAAACATAATCATAAAATAGAACCATCCAATTAAAACCACAGTACAGAAACGAAGGATAAGTAGTTGATTAATCCCTGGATTGGGTGAAAAGTAGGCTGAAATCATAACCTGGGCTAGCTCTGAAGTGCTGGAGAATTAAGTATGTCATCTTCTACTGCTGGCTCATGTCTCCACTGAGAGCCCCACACTGAGAGCCCCACATGTGTTGTAAGCCGCCCCGAGGCTTTGGCAAGGGGTGGCATAGAAATGTTCTAATAATAATAATAATAATAATAATAATAATAATAATAATAATAATAATAATCCAAGATCTGGAATTGGCTGAATATCCCATTCTTCTATTCCCATTTTGATGGTGTTCTGTAGATACAGCTTTAGATAGGTCATAACTGCTGCCGTAATAATAATGGGGTGACAGCAAGATCATCCTTAACTGCAAATTTGTGTAACGTTGGGGTCATGGTGGTGGTCTTGAAAGCCACCTCTCCACAAGTCTGTGTGCTTCAGTCATCAGGGGATGTTTAGAGGAGATATTACATGACCTTAAAAGATATACCTGATGGGTTAGTGAGCACTTCCCTTTAAAAATAGCACTGATAAATCATGACTGTGCCTGGAACAGACCTTGAAAGGTCCTTGAATTAAGCATTGTTGAGGTCTTGTAGTCATTTTTTCTTAATGCCAGTCAATTTCATTGAGGGTGCTAGCAGTCTTGGCAGCAGATGTAGATGTTAACTCGTATGAATTAGAATGAAACCATAACTGCCTACAGCAAACCAGAAAGAAACAGGTGGGGGGAATGGGTGAGAATACTCGCTGCTCCTCCATAGATAAGCAGAGTCGTCATGTGTATAAAATCCATAAAATTTGGCACTGATTAATTTAAGCTTGGAAAGTCTTCCAAGTTGCTTCTTGAAGTATAGAAATGCAAATGAACAATTGGAGATGAAAGCAAATTATTACCAAAGCTGTTCACCTACTGTTAATTAACACATGTAAAAGCAGACTTCTGGAAATTTTAAAGGGGCCGCTAAATTATGGATTGACATGAAACTCTTTGCAGCCAGATTCAGAGATTATATCCTTTGCAAGCATTGGTTTCATAATAAATACAGGTTTAATGCACTCCTGACCTGAGTTGCATGTAAAAAGGGCCCTAAATACTGACTGAGTTAGCATCCTCTGCTAGTCCAAAGACTTTCCAAGTGGCCTGTGACTTTGAAATAGCTTTGGTGTTGGTGGCTTTCCCTAACATGCTACCCACCAGGAATTTTGGACTTCAAGTCATGTTGATCTCAGCTATCCTGGCCAATGGTTAGGAATGTTGGGACTCGTCATCCAAAGCACTGAAGTGCTATAGGCTGACCTAGAATATGCATGCAATAGATTAAAGAGACTTCCGTAAACACAATGAACTACAAAGGTAACTTCACTGGCGGAATCTTCTATCGAGTTGTGACATGTTCTGAGGTTGTTTTCTGTGATGCTCAAGCAAACATTTTTTCCTTTGGAAGGTAATTGTCCATTTTTGTGCTTTCTTTCCTTCTAGGGAAATGCCCACAAAATTTTGGATCACTGCACTTTGCCAATTACTGGGAAACAGTGTGTGAATCGCATCATAACTGAAAAGGTAGGGCATTTAATTTTGTTAATCCCATTTCCCCTCTAAGTAGCTCAGAGCTGTCTTTTAACCTTTGCAATAGCACAGTAAGGATGGGTAGGCAGTGAATTGTCCAGGGCAAACTCTGGAAAGTTAAAATGCCAGTATGGTATAGTAGGTAATGTGTTGGACTGGGACTTGGAAGATCCAGGTTCTAGTCCCCACTCAGCCCTGAAGCTTGCTGGGTGACTTTGGGCCAGTCACTTACTCTTAGCCTATTTTACCTCACAGGGTTGTTTTGAAGCCTTGGGGTGCTTGCAGGGATAACAAAATGATAAATGAACAATGTCTTTGTGAGAATGGCCAGTTTTAACCTGGCTCAGGAAGATCAAGGAGGTGCCTTCCCCACCTACCCTCAAATAAAGGACCCCCCCCCCCCCCAGTTCTCTCAACTGCCTCTTTCAGTCCTTGCTGTATTGAACAAGCAAGGTCTGATGGGGATTCTCTTTGCATTAGTTTGAACTCCAGTAAAAAATCTCTAGGCAATTACAGACTATGACTTACAAATGCCAGTTGCACTGAGAACGTTTGGCAGTAGAGAAATGAAATGAATCAACGCATTGACTTTTCCAGCTTGAAACACTGGCTGCAGGCCTCTTGCTTAACTAGTAAGGCTTTCCTTCTTTCCATTTTAGAATACACTTCATTTATATTTCCTTTCAATCCTGCAGGCTGTGTTTGACGTAGATAAGAAAAATGGGCTGACTCTGATTGAAATCTGGGAAGGCCTGTCAGTGGATGACATCAAGAAAAGCACTGGTACTGACTTCGCAGTAAGTTGTTGTCTGCATTGAGCTGTGTTTTGCATATTCGGTGGGAAACTGTCCAAGTGGGTAAGAATCACGTCTGGTCCTGGCCATTTGGCTTCTTGTGCCCTTTGGTTTCTCTGCCGCCTGCCCTTAGCCTGACCCACTACTGAAGGGCCTTCCCTGCTACATGCCCCTAGTTCCAGTTGAAGAATGTGGTCTTTAACTGGAACAGGTTCAACACTCCTGCTTTAACATACAGTGATAGAGTAGACAAATGGCATAACAGCACTGTGGCGTTTGGAAAGAGATGCAGCTGTCCATACTTATTTTCATGGCTGATTTTGAAAAAGCGTATTCCAGACAACACATTCAGCAGCCCATAGCAAGAGAATAGTGATTTAGAGACACCCGTCATTATTATGGAAGTGGCATTATATCAAGAATGAGCAATGCAGTTTGGATTTTGCTTGGCTCCAAAGTCAAGCTCTTTTGTTTTTTGTTTTTTTCCATGTACCCTTAAATCAGATCTACAGCTTAGCTGGTAGATCATCCTGGTGGGGCAATCTATTCTAGTTTACAGGACAAATTTATTATTGAAATTATAACACCACCATAAAAACAGAATGGAAAGCCATAACTGTAAATTTGTTAGGTTATAAAATAATAATGATCAGCTTTGCTCCATACAAATTAAAATATGTCTGTCTTGTCTTCCTGTGAAATCCTGATTCTCCCTTAGGGGATCCAAAAACGTATTAAACCCACAGTCCTATATAGCACTTACCAGCTAGTCAGATCCATAGAACTCAGTGGGGGTCAAATTCTGAATAGATTTGTTTAAGCTTTAGACTAGGATCCCAGTGAACAAGTGGCTTTCAGAAGAAAAACAAATACTGTTCTTTCTTTTATGATAAACTACCCATTTGGTAAAAGGGACCTTAGGTCAAAGTTGCAGAACATGTCCTTGTTTCAGGGCTTCTTAGATGCTAGACTGTATGCAGATTTCTTGTGCATACCGGTTTTTCTGTTTGCTTCTATGCCCCAGATTGATCGGCATACATACTAATGCTCATACATATTTGTTTTTGTTCTGTCAATTGAAATGAATGAGGGTATCTGTCAAGCAAAAGAATCAAGGGGGTATGCACACGAATACTGAGTGCCTCCATTTGGATTGGGAGCGGGAGCCAGTGTTTCTTGGGGAATAATTAACGTTGTTGCTTGTGCAATTGCAAGCAATTATAACTGAAAATGGCTTGTGACATGGCTTCATTAATGTAAAATCTTGATGACCTTGTTCATGCATAATGCTAAACCATGGCGCATTTACGTCCTACTCTGAGTTTTTCTGAGGTCCCCCCACCCCCGCGTCTCATCTACTCCTTCCCTGGATCCCAAATGCCTTCCGATGCTGTAATAAGGACAAGTAGACATCTGGGGGTTTTGACTGTTCTTGTCTGCTGTACATTTTGCTTTAGCCTAGCAAAATAATGTAGCCTAGCAAAACAATTACTCATAGTTCTGGTTTCAGTCCATGGTTTAAACAACACAGTGTTCAAAACCCAACAACAGGTTCTCTTTCTTGGTTGTTAATAAACTATGGTTTATTAGAATAGCTGCACTCACACATTACAATAATCTAGAATTCAACGATAGCATTATGTACAAACCAACCCATTATGCTGGTGTTTACTTAGCATAATTGTATACTGCATGAAAATCAAACAGAGTGAAATTGTAGTGGTGAAGGTTTGTACTTGGGCATCAAATAACCATGCCACCCAATCCAGAGCCTTCTAAGGCCTCAAAGAACATGATGTGAATGCATTTTTCATGTAAATTAACACATTTAACATTCTGATAGATAAAATTTATAAGTTAATTGCACTTCCCAAAATGAAATCTGTGAAATCCCAAACTCCAGCCATTCAGTAAATTGTTCCAGCTCTCCATTCCAAATGGAATTTATCTTTTTTGTAGACTGCTGGGTAATCTTTCTCAGAACTCCTACATGAATCAAAGAATTCATGATAACTACTTCTCCTCCCCCTGCACACACACTTTCTTTCTCTCTGCTCAAATTCTTCCTCAAAGTCAATCTTTTTTCTTCTGCAATGCCTTTAGCTTAATCCTTCAGTCTTCATCCCCATACCTAGCACTTTCAAAATGTTCGAACCACTTGACTTCATAAGATAGAACATTGTTATTTTCCCTGTGTAGCTGACATGGTCTGCCTCAGTTACTCCATCCCCAGGCCTCCATCTTTATGGTGCAAAGGAGGCATCCTATGAAGCAGGGGTCCATCTTGTCAGAAGGCTGGAACATCATTACAAAAGTAGTACTTTCATGTCTAGGACAAGTGGGATGATAAACAAGGAATTCTACCACATACGGAACACTTCCAGAAAGACCGAGTATCTGAGACCATAACATGCTAAAGTGACTGTAGGACCTGGCTGTTTTTATTTGTGTTCTCTGTGCATCACACATAAGGACTCTGTACCAGCACAGAGCCTGTTGTTAGGAAGATTCTATAGCTGCACATTTATTTGGGTGGGGGACCCTCCCCTTCTTGTTCCAGGCATAGATGGGAGAGGCTCTTGCCAATTCCCTCAGTTGCTTTTCAGCCATCATTGTGCCTAGACTGGGAAGCACTTCTCTACAAACTTAAGGATTTCACAGTCCTTATTATCTGCATCTCTATCTTTCTTTCTTCCCTTCTCTACATACACAGCTGCTTACGTCCTCTTCATTCTCTGCACAAAACTCCTTTTCACTCTTTGACTAGCATTACAATTTTTTTTTTCCTCTTCCTCGTGTCCTCTGTCAAAACCTCACTTCTTGTCCCATGTTTGGCCTTTCCTGTCTATTACAGTGGCTTCAAAGGCACCCTTTAAAATGTGCATCCACTGTGGGAATTTCTCCTCATGGACAGGCAATCTCTCTACCTCTTCTGCTTGGGTGAGGAATATGTCATCAGTTCCTGCCCTCACTGCCACACCTTCACTGAGTAGGACCAGAAAAATAGGGCAGAACGACTAAGGGACAAACTCTGGAGCAGGACCCTACAGGCCACTGACTCCACCAAGCAAGCAGGGCATGATTGGCCATTCACTTTGGCTGTGGCAACACCACATAAGACCGCACTGAGAGCAAAAGTTCCAACTGAGCCCAGCCCAGCAATATCCAGATGCTCGCTGGAAGACTGCGTGGGCAGCAAAATGGCCGAATGTGCAAAAAAGATGTCTGCTGCAGCCAAGAAGCAGCACAAGTGCCTTGCTGAGCCCCTCCCAATCCTCAGCCCTGAGAAATTCACCAGACTAAAAGCAGCTGGAGCCCTTGGTACCAACAGAAGAACCAGTCCTGGCAACATTGATATCCAAGGGGGAGATAAGGGATAGCCCTCCCAGATCACCAGCCTAACCACCATCCAAGGCATTGACATCACAGCAATCCACACACGCCTCCCAAGACTGACTCCACCAGCTCTGGAAACACAAGGGCAGTGAGACATACCACTTCCCACTGCTGGAATGGGACTGGGCTGACGACTGGTTGTCAGCCCCACATTGGTCTCGAAGGGACTCCCAAGCATCTCGTAGGGATGATCATGATTCTGGGTACTGAGAAGATGCTCAGGCTGCACAGCAGAGCAAGCAAACACCAGGATGCTGACTGTCCTCACTTCTCCAGCATGATGCTCCATCCACTGATGCCTCTACAAGGACCCAATACTGGCTAGAGCCACCCAGTTGCAATCTGCAATGCCACCAGTACTGAGATCCTTGTGAATGAAGCTGCCCTCTCCAGCACTGGCCCCTGAGGACTACATAGCAGACTTTGACTTATCAGTATGGCTGGCCCCATCTACCTCCTTGCCTGGTGCCACTGTTGCCATACCAGACCTGGTGTCCCAGCAGAGGAGATGAGCAGGTTTTCTGAACATGTCCTCAGGATCGTACACTCCCTTGGACTCAAGATGGACTCATGACAGAGTAATGGACCCTGTCTTTGACAATCCATATCAAGGGCTTGGTACGGCTGACAATACCATTTCTGTCCACACTGCTTCAGACAATTCAGCAGTCATGGAATACTCCCTCAGAAGCACACTCCTAGCCAAAGAGACTTGAGAGTATGTACTAGGTGATACAGAGGGACATCCCATTCCTTCCAGTACCCAAGGCCCAACTTGGTTATCAAGTTGGTGCAAGGCTGATTGCAACAGGAGTGTCCAGTGCCAGTTGACCAGGAGGGCTGCCATCTGGATGGTTTGGCAAAGTGGGTCTGTGTGGCTTCAGCACTTGGTCTCTGAGTGCTGAAGCCATGAGGCTACCATGACCTGATACCAGCTGTTTTTATGGGAGAAGATCAGAGCAAAACTGTCCACTATATATCGGCGGGTCTTAAAAATGCTCATATTCATTCTTTGTTAGCTTTGACTCTGCCTTCTTTCTTCTGTTTTGCTATTTCTTTCAGTGTTGAAATTGGGTTAAGTCTCTGTCCATGGCAGTCTCCTATCTTTTGCTTCTGTTCCTGGACAACATATTCCCCAAAAGTAATGCTGCTTCTTGGTACCTTGTAATATTAAAAGCTACTTCAAATAGCTGCAAGTCTTCTGGAAATCTTGTAGACATTATTTGACCATTTAATTTATCTGTCTCTTTCTTTCTAGGTTTCACCAAACCTCACACCAATGAAGCAAATTTCAACCTGAGAAGTAGACTGGATTTAGTATCTTCCATACTTCCAGTAAAGGGGAATCAAATGTCTGTTTTGCAATTACACATTTTAAAGAGGTTTTTGTAAGTAGTTTCTTTGGTAGTTAGCGCCAGGCTGACTATGTATCTATAACTCCATAAATGTTTGTTTGCACACAACAGTACTGTTTCCAAAACTAAACTCAATTTTGTACCTAGATATTTTTAGCTATCATATTGCAGGGTTGATAGGTTTGTCAATACACAGTGGCAAGAGGCATTGGCCCAGTGTGATGGTTGTATCTCAGTTTGTAAAATTGAGATTTGTATGCATGCAACTCTTCCTCAGGAGCTGTGATCAAACCAGGAAGACTAAACAGTTTCTACTTTGTCCGAGCCCTGAAACCATGGCTACCAGCCTGAGAACAATCTAGGACCTTAAATCGGCTCAAACCCATCTGAACAAGGCCAGTGCCTTCTAGATGTGATCTTAATGCTGTCAGTTTGGACAGAAGCCACTTCCTCATGCCAACCATGCCAGCTTGCAAGTGCCTGTACATCAACTGCAATTATGCACACACAGAAAGGCATCAGACAACATGTTGGCCTAAACTATGTGAATGATCATAACTTTGGATATTTGGGTGTTCTAAGTCCAGAAACCAAGGAAAGGTGCTTGCCTTTGAGATTTCCAATGGTGAAGGGATGGTGTTTCTGCGCTCGGCGTGACACGTTCCTCTTCAGAGAAGCAGCATCAAAAGCACTTATTTGTTGACAGTACAAATTATAGACAAAATGTCTATGTATGAAAACTTGAGCATGGAGATTTGCTTAAATTGCCTACATTATTTGCAAAAAATTTGGGTTTCCCAGGCATAAGATTTTGATATTTGATTTGCTGAAATATACATAGCCCTGGGTTGCATATGAAAAGTGCGTTGTTCAGCTTTGGGATGGGGAAAACTTTGTTGCAATGGAAATTTATTGTCATAACAATATCGTGGTGGCTTTTTTTTCAGACCTTTTAATAGAAATATATACACAAGTGCACATGCACATCTCATGTGTGGAATTCTGCCTTTCTGTTGTTAACAATGAATCATTCGCACAAATGTCTAATGACTCCAATGGGAGCAAGGCAGGGTCTGTTTTTTTTTTTTAACTGCAATTGTTATACCATTTATGCATTGTATAAAAGTTAAACCATCTGAAGTTAGAATTAAAACAGTGCCAGATAACAACTGTCTATCTTTCTTGGCCTGGGCAGTCCCAAGAGTTTGTACCTTTTCCCCACTCCAAAGCTTCTTGAAATATGAGATTAATAAGACAGAAATCAGTTAGGGATGATCAGACATTTTTGCATTAGGAAAAAATCAAGTACTTGAAGAAAGCCATATGTTGTAATTGATGGCTGATCTTGGATTGTCTAGTTTAAGAATCAGGGTGGATAACTTGTTTCAAATCCCTGTTCAGCCAGTTCAGCTTATTGGGTGGCCTTGGGGAGAAACAGTCTCAGCTTACGCTACCTCCCAGGTTTGGGATGCCATTCTTGAGCATCTCAGAGCAGTGTTGGACTGCAGGTGCTACTGTTCTGTTCCAAACCTTTGAACTTGCCTTCTGTTGCATTACATGCGTGCGGTTGGGCGTCTTTGAGAGGGAGTTGTCCTGTGTCCTTGCCTCCTTCTGATAAGCCAGATCTTGCCTCCTTATTAGTGCTGGCAAAGTAAAACAGAACAAGCCTGGAGCACTTTGTTCACGATTCTGCTTTGTCCATGTAGCGTTCCTGGAAAAACTCTTTTGAGCCTGATGCTGAAACTAATGCTACTTGAAGCCCTTTATGTGAGTTCAAAACTCAGGCCTCAGTCCATTCTATCTCCATTTGCCAATGCTGTTACCAGAGGCCATCACAGTTTGCAGCCAATAATGTGTTGGGCTTCCAGCTGACTGGATCCAGACTTGGAGCCTACCCAATGGAATCAACAGAACTCAAATTACTCACAATTGACACGCCATGCTAATTTTCGAGGGTCCTCTCTAAGCACTACTAAGTCTGTATCCAAGCCAGCATTACTATTTTCTGGAGAAGTAACCAATTGGTATGCTATGTCCGTAGGAGGTTTAAAACCGAGGGTAGGTATTGGCATTGATTCATCAGTGCTGAATAAGGGGCACTGCATGCCCTCTGTGCCATTGGATTATGTGACAGTGCAAACAAAGTGACTGGTATTCTCAGTCGGCGATACCCAGCTCTGTGTGCATTTGAATGTGTGTGGGGCAGCAACCCCTTACTACCCCCTTCCTCCATTTGTGGGTTGGACTTCTACATCCCTGAAATAAGTAAATTAGGGAGCAGCTATGAAAGGCCATTGAAAGATGAGAACTAGAATTTTTCACTTCTCCTGCATGGCATGTTAAGGTCTGGATACTAGCAAAGGACTAGTGGATGTCATTGTCCACTTGGATGGAAAAGCATTTCATGACAAGAACAGTTGCTGTTTGCTGCTTCTTAGTTTGGAAAATGTTGCCATTGGTGCTGGACACATGACAGATACTAAAGAAACTGCACATTGCAGTGAAAAATGGAGTTCCCATCATATTAGAACAGGTTTCCCCAATGTGGTGTCTTCCAGATGCTTTGAACTACAGTTCCCAGCGTTCCTGTGTATTGGCCATGCTGGCTGGAGCTGATGAGAGTTGAAGCCCCAAAGCATCAGGGAAATATTAGATTGGAGAAGGCTGTGTTAGAGCAATGGGCAGCAGTCACCCCATGAGATTGATGCATAGAATTGATGCACAGTAGCTTCAAGACAAAAAAAAAGGAAGTGTTTCTTTGCATACACACATATTATATAAATAAGGCATAGCTAACTTATGGACTTTGCTGGCAGCGTGGTGGTGATGGCTGTTGGCAGAGATGGATTTAAAAGGGGAATAGACAGATGAGGGGAGGCCTACAGGCAGCAGTTAGCTAGGACAGCTATATACAGCTGCCACTTGAGTGGATTGAATACCAGCTTCTGGAGATGACAGCAGTTGCAGGTTCCCCCAGCATGGTGGCCTTCAGAAATCTCATTCCTCAAAGGGACTATTGGCTGTGCTGGCTGGGAATGATAGGAGTTATTGGCCAAACACACCTAGATAGGCTGCCAAGTTGGGAAAGGGTTTGGTTGTGGGCTTCTCAAATGCTCCCAGTTAAACCGTGTTGAGGAACAGGACGCTGGGCAAGATAGACCTTTTGTCTAATCCAGCAGGGCTTTCTTACATGTTTACAAAACAAACAAAACACCAGTTTCTGTTCAATATCAGGCAATGTGTGCAGAGTAACAGGAATGATGCTCTCCCCTCTCCCCTTCAGTTTATAGTTTGCTTGCTTTCATGTTGTATGTCGTCATGCTTTTGGTTCTGTTCATTGACAAACCAACTGGCAAAATATAAACAGCTGAGGGAGCTACTGAATGTACTGTAAACTGTGTGTCCAGGTATCTTTTATATGTACTTGCAAACAGTCAATAAATCAAATTGCAAAAATAGTGCACTGCTGCCAGTCTTTTTTAAGGAAAATGTGACTTGTCAGAAACAGAGGTGTCCTTTATGACATCTTTTGGAATAGGACTGTAGCTTGGGGGGTGGGTTGAACACATGCTCTGAGTGCAGAAGGTCCCAGCTTCAATCCCAGAAAGGGCTAGAATCATAGAATAGTAGAGTTGGAAGGGACCATCAGGTCCCATCCTCTGCTCAGTGCAGGACTCCAAGTCAAACCATCCCTCTCCAATGGCTGTCCAGTTGCATCTGAATACCTCTAGTGTGGGAGAGCGTACAATCTCCCTTGGTAAACAGAAGTTCTTCCTGATGTTCAGCCAGAACTTGGCTTGCTCTAACTTGAGCCTGTTATTCTGTGTCCCACACTCTGGGATGGTTGAGATCCTAGCCACCTCCTTTCTGACAGCCTTTGAGGTACTTGAAGAGTAAGTGCTGCTAGGAAGGTATCCTGCCTTGGAAACCTGCGGCCAGCCAGTTTCAAACATGGATCATGCGAGAGCTGAGCCCTGTATCTCTACACACCCTCCCTCTTGTGGAAGATACTTCACAAGAATTTAAAAATGTGGGGTTGGAAGAGAGTATGCAGACTGGCTGTTCGTTTTTTCTAACCTTTGGAACAGTGACTAGAGAGAGATGTTTAAAATCTGGAGTTCTCCCACATTTTTGACCATTCTATTTCAGTTTAATAGAAATTAAACCAATGATAAGTAGCATTTTGGAGCAATTCTCATGGCTTGCTTTGGGGGTTTTGTTCTTGCATCATATAGGAGGTGGCTGAGCAATGTGCCCATATGCTGTTTTTTTTAATTTTTTAAACTTTAATTTTTTAAAAAAAATTAAGTGATTGGTTTTTAAACATGGTCTTCCTCATTGCTAGCTCTTCTATTTACAGTGAAAACCTGGTTGTATACAGCCAAATCATAGCTGCCATTTTCCAAGATGGCCAGGTAGGATTGTCCAAGCTAGAATTATCTGTGAATTTCATCTTGTTTCAAATTATTTCTGGGCCCACTGCCTCTTGGAAGTTAATGTTCAAGGACTTTGTTGCATGGGGGAGGGGGTGCTGTTTAAGGAATAAAACCAAAGCTCTCTGGGACATGTGGAACTAGTATTACCAGGCTAGGATCTGAGTATTAATACTTTATTCCTATTTTGAGTAGCTGGTGTCTGCTTTAGAACATTAACACTCCATCTGTGAATAAGTGTTTCCTTAATAATATCTTTCAAAGTAATTTTCCATAAGGCCTCTAATATAAATTAATTGTCAACCTGTTCTTCTTTACCCATTACTTTGCCAGCAATTTTTAAAAATAGATTAATCATAATGGACTTTTTCTTTCTGCTGGTGATAGTTAAGACTGCAATCTGGAACTAATTTACATTCATATAAAGAACTCAGATCAATGACCTCTATTACCCTAATGATAAAATACCAGAAGAGGTTTCTAGTGTTCTTTGAATGTTCCCCCTGCCCTGCCATTTAGGAAGGTGCTCTGTCATTGACGTATCATCAGCCATCTCTTACAGAAGAATTGCACGTTTTGTTATGGGGTTATGGCTGGAACTGCTTCTTCTCTTTCTCTCTTGAATTCCTGTGTTCTCAGTAAGGTGAACAGACTATCAGTCAAAATAATAATAGTCATAGTGAGTTGGATCCATACTTAAGGTAGGATGGAGATATATACTGGATCAGCTATGCTATCCGAGGTGAACTGCACACTCCTTTATGGTAGCTTCCAGTGGCCTGAAAGATCACAGAGAGGAGATCCTGCTGGGTGGGGCAAACTGTAGTAGAAATGTGGGGGAGCAAAGGATCCCCCAGATCAGCAGTCTTCCTAGCAAAGCAGATCTTGCATCTGACCCTTAAGTTGTACTTAGAGTTAGACCTACTTCAGTCGATGAGACTTAAGCTGACCATGACAAACTTAAATCCCATTGATTTGAAGAAGTATTCTAAGTATTATTTGATTTTATTTCTATACTGGCCAATCACCAAAGTTGTCTGAGTAGTTTACAGCTTTACAGTTTTCTTACATGAAATTTGAATAGGTCCCTTACAATAGATACATATGAAAAAGATTCCTCTATATTGTTGGCATAAAGCAAAATAAACTACTGTCTATAAACATAGTTCTGCATTGGCTTCAACAAAGGCAGACCAAATATTCATGTATTCATTAATGGGTAAGGTAAAAGGTAAAGATTTCCCCTTGACATTTAAGTCCAGTTATGCCTGACTCTGGGGGACGGTGCTCATCTCTGTTTCCTAGCTGTCCGCAGACAGTCTCCATGGTCATGTAGCCAGCATGACTAAACACCGAAGTGCATGGAATACTGTTACCTGCCCACCGAAGTGGTACCCTTTTATCTACTTGCATTTGCATGCTTTCAAACCGCAAGGTTGGCAGGAGCTGGGACAGAGCAACAGGAACTCACCCCCTTGTGCAGATTCGAACCGGCGACCTTCTGATCAACCAGTCCAGCAGCACAGCAGTTTAAACCACTGCGCCACCTGCATTCATGGGTGGGATACATTTAAAGACCACACAACCAAAAGTTGGAAACAACATTAAGTCCTCAATTCATTGTGTAACTTGAGGCAGCTGTTGGTCCTTCCAGTACTGTGCTGTTAGTCTTTGAGCTGTCCAAAGGGCAGGTTGAATTATATGCGGCCCTGAACACATACTGAGTAGCAAATCTTAATTTTTTAAAACTTCCAGATGTGGAGCTACCACTGAAATTAGCATTGCCATATCCAGTGTGCCCTGTAACATCCCCTAATAGGGTATAGGGTGAAGTCAGCCGCAATTTTGTGCATTCCCCTCCACTCTTGTTTCAGATCACTGGTGGCTGCTTTCATGGAAGACAGTTCGTCAGAGGCATGAATTGTTATCCTGAGCTACATGTATGGGGTTGGGACTGCAAACAGTGAGGTCGGAGAGAAATGAAATGCAGGAAGTATGAACAGTGATTATTAGGTTGTTAATTGTGACCACTTGGTCAGTTGTTGGTGCCAATGACCAACGTTGGGATACCTGAGTTAGAACTGACAACAGTTTTGTAAATAGCATTTGTCGTAATCAAATCTCCTGCTTTGATCTGAAAAGCACGAATGGAGAATGCTTGGTGTGCCTTACCCATGAATACATGGCCTTGGAAGTCAAGCCAAGGAGGAAAAATGCAGCACTCTTGCCACCTATCTTGTTTAATTTTCTCTCTCATAAAAGTTCCCTTGTGTCCACTGAACATTCAATTATTCCTCTTCTCCTTTCACACATACCGAAATATGCATTCAAATGGGTTTGCCTGTTTGCTACTCAGATCAACTTTGTATTTTTATCCACTCTTTCGTACATGTTTGGCTCGAGTGTATTCCAAGAAGTATTGTGTTTGAATCAGATTAAAATTTAATGTGTTTCTTGATAGATGTATATTGCAAAGAATGTGGTATTCCATATAGGGTGCACAGCTTGTCAGATTGTCTCCTCGTATCAAATTTCTGGAATACAAGAATTCAATCCAAGCAGCTATAATTGAGAGAGCATAAGGTTGCCAGGAATAGCAGCTGCTGGACTTATCCATTGACAGACATCTTGCTGATGAATTATTTCATCTTTGCTGTACTTGCTTTGGTGTATTTTAACCCAATAGACTGTCATGCCTAATGACCATATTCTTGTAGCTTAATTCAGACAGAGCTTTGGAGGGTGTAACATTCTCTAGAGCTTCTTTTACTTTTGCTATAATACTCTAGGAAAGACATCTCACAAATAGATGGAGAATCTCAATTAGAAATCATGGATTTTCTTTTTCATGTTATTTTATTAGAATACGCCGTATCCCATCTTTTAACTCAATGAATTTCCAAGGCAGCTTCTACAAATATATGACCAAAGTATACACTGACAATTGTCCTGGTCTGCCTTTTCTAGGAAGTGCCATTTCTGGAGCTCTAAGTCAAAGCTGTATACAAAAGCACGCCTAGCCACTTGAAAAAGTCCTAGTGGCTTTGCTATCTTGCCAATCAGACATTTGCACTGAGATATTGCATGATGATGTCTTGATCTGTGTCAAGATTGCAACCTGAAATGGCATCAAGGTACAGGGTCTTTGCACCAGATCCTATCCACCTCATCTTATTTTGCCCAAAAGATGGTATTTTATATAACATTCCTGGTGAAAGCATATATCAAAACAAAAGTCCTTGAGAGGAAAGTACGTCTATGATGATTAAATAAACCCTTGCAATATAAACTTACCACGTAATGTTATGCACCACAAGAACTATTTTGCCAGGACTGAATGTCATTAACGTCTAGAAGAAGAGTTCACAAATACCTTTCAGAGAACTGTTGGCATTTTCAATAAAATAAAATCCATCATCATCAACTGAAAATCACAATTTTGAATCTTTGATCAATTCTTTACAAGACATATTCATGTGAAGAACTTTATTCTCTGCACAACAATATGACTCATGATCGTTCATACTTTAAGCCTTTGCTGCTATGTAGCAATGCATTTGGACTAGGCCCATCCTGATAATTTTGGCCAAAAGCTCCACTAGTCCCTCATAGCCAGCATGAAAAGAACCATTCTGGGTGCTTCTCCAAGGCTGGAGGAGCATCCCTGGAGAAGAGGTGAAGGAGGAATTCCAGGAGATGGAGAAAGCGGGAGACCAGCAGTGTTGCTCCCCCCACCCCCTGTCTGAAGCCAAAATCATCCAGATGACTGGCAGAGCAGAAGAAGCAGGGAAGGAGTGGTTACTTTGTCCATCTGGTAGAAGATGTCCATATGGCTGAATAGAAAACCTTATACATGAACGTGTTCCATTGGGAACCAGAAGCGTCGCTAGAGTTACAATTTGTGACTCTGTTGGATGAACCAGAGTTCAGAATTAAATAAATCAGTATTAAATAAACCAAATATCTGACCTTGTGTGAGGGAGGTGAGGAATATACTGTGTCTTTTTTCCTCGTTGTTATGACTA